TGACAGGAATGCTCCGACCAAAACACAGACTCACCTGACATTTATGCCAATGTCAAAGACCTTGTGAGCCTTGGAGTCCACACATGTCTCTGGGATGGTGTACACATGAAGCGTGAAAGGTGCATCCTCCTGCGTGGGCTGCACGTTGTACCTCAGGCTTGTCTAGGGGACAGGCAGCAGCCACGTGTGAGCACGGGTGTGTGATGCCCAATGCTGGAGAAAGGGGATGATCTCCCCCACCCAGCCTCCCCACTTCTCCCATTCTCACAGCTCCTCCACACTCCAGGTCTTTCCCTCCTTCCCTCCCACTCGTTCTCTTCCACATAACTCTGCTCTTCTCCTCTTCCCTTTACACAGAGCCTTCCCTCCCACTTCTCCCCTCTCTCCTGTCCCTTCTTCTCCAGATGGAGATGGACCTGATGATCTTTAGGGTCTTTTCCAACCTTGAGGGTTCTATGATTCTGCCCTCTCCATGCCTCCTGCCTGGCAAGGGGCTCCCCTCCCAGGATGCCTCCTGTCCCTATCTCCCTCACCTGCAGGTAGACACATCCTTCACCAGACACCTCCACGCCGTACTCCCCTGGCACCCGGGGAAGGGACACGCGCTGGAGCAGCAGCCGGTTTGTGGGATCCACTTGGAAGTCTTGCTGGAAGTTCCCTCCAGACTGCAGCCTCACTTTGGAAGCTGCCCTGCTCTTGGCATAAGTGAGAGCTCCGTACAGGGACAAGGCTTGGAGAGCCACCACTGTGTCCTGAAAGAGACAGATCCCGGCACCCAGAGGGGTGCAGTCAGCCCTTCCATAGCCTGCCCTCTCTCAAGTGTGCCTTTCTGTGGCACCCTCCCCTCCATCCTTCACTTTCTCCAGTGTTACACAGAAAAGACAGAGTCAAAGAGCAGCTTTTACATGTTCCTGCTCCCTTCCCAGAGGCACTGACATTCTTGCCTCTAGCTTCTGGAGCACTTGGCAGCCATGGTGGGTATTGCATGGAATACTGCGTGGATATACTGCAGGTCTAATGTTCCTGCCTTCCTGGCAAACCTTAATGGGCTCCCACCTGGCTCTTTGACATGTCCCATCCTCCAACATTGATGTGAAGTAGCTCACCTGGGTGGAGGAGAAGCCTCCATTGGGATTCTGCTGACCACTGATCCACTTTGCAATACGAGATGCAAATGACAGCTCCTCCTGGGAAGGTGCTGGCTGAGAGCTGAGGTAAGCAAGGAGCACATAGGCTGTCATCTCCACTTCAGCAGAGGGAGCTCGGTGGCGATAGTATGGGGGATCAACCTCTGGCTCTTTCCCAGGCCGCTGCCAATGAACAGACCCATCTTCACAGCAGGTGAGGAGCATGGAGACAAGATAACAAGCAATTATTACTAGTTATTGCAGTGGAGTTCTTGATCTGTTGCAACTCCAGGTGGGAGGATGCAGTCTCCAGGATGCATCTATCATGCAGGATGAAGGGGGAAGGGTTAGGTTTACACATTTTGCAGGTTTACAGCTAGTATGAGACTGCTGAGTCTCAGGCCTGGATACCACTTTGTTCTAGACTCCAGATTCACATAGACACTTATGGGCTTGGGCACCTCAGGGAACTACGGATGCTGCTTTCTCTGTTTTTGAGTAGAGATCCTGCCATCAGGCAGTGATAGAATCTGAGAGACAAAATGGCTCAAAGAATGTGACCACAGCTTGAGAGTCACTTGCAGTTGGAGAAGGCAAAAAGTGTAGGGGATACTTCCCTCATAACCCTGCTAACCAACATTTGAGCAAATCCACTGTCTGGTCTGATTTAACTAGAGTGCTTCTGAATTGTTACATGAATTCCTAGAAGAGTCTGAGATAATGCTATGGCCTCCACAATGACCTGTAGGTTCATTTTCTCTCTCAGCTCATCCAGCACCTCTCTGATTTACCTGTCTTGTGCTGTGCAAAGTCAACTTTGTTCTATGTTGAGCCCGTGCCCTGGAAGGAAGAAGTGCCAATTAACATTATTCAGCCTTTGCTAAGTGGTGCCTGGTGTGGCAAGAGGAGTGGACTAAGGAGAAGTGCCAGCAGAACTACTCTGTAGTTCATTACCGAGGGGATGGTGCCTGGTGCTTCCCAGTGAACTCCCTCAAAGCAGAGATTCAGGACTTGGGACTGAGAGGGAGTTCTCAGAAAGGTAATCCCTTTGCACAAATCTTTCCTGTCCCTCCATCTTTCCCTACCCTCAGAAGCCAGTTCCTACATTAACAATTGCCCCACCAGCAAAGGCCATTTTATCAAGGGAAGATGTAAGGCAAATGAAAGAGACGTCCCACCAGGACTACTCACCCTCTTTCACGGCTTCCTGTTCAAGTGAGTCAAGCAATGTCTTCCGCTTGTCCATTTTCCTGGCCAGGGCAAATGCATATGCTAGCAGTGCCTTGGTGTACACGTGGTTTTCTTTCTGATCTGCTGCTGTTTCCAGGCAGAACAGAGCATTCCGCACCACTGAGTGCTGGGAAGAGAGAGAGACTAAGCTGGAGCAGCCAGAGATCACAGTGAGGCCCATCTTAGAACATCAGGAATTGGATGGTACCTATGGACCCTTAGCAACCCCACTTTCCGCTCTGACTAATATTGAACTATTGTGTATCCCTTCCCTTCCAGGCCCAGTAATTCCTAGAACAAATGGGCAGCCAAAGGCTGTTCCTTATTTTGTATCAACGTTTCTCTAATATGTCTCGTTAATGGCTTTTCCCAATTACTTCCTTTCTGTAGATGTCCTGAATACTTGCTTTCTTCCTTCAGCTATTACCCTGAGACTCTTCTGTGCTTTTACCCTCTGCTCTGTCCTTTACTTTTTATTGTTTAGTTCCCCTTTTCTAGGACCTTCTGAAAAAAATTATTTTGCTGGAAGCTGATAATGTAGATTCTAGTTTGGCAGGAAACTATCTCTGCATAAGAAAGAAATTTTTTTTGTATTTTCTGGAATATTTTTTGTGACACATTAACATTAACAATGTGTGTCTTTCCCAAGACAGAATCTCAAGTACGGTTTGCGAGTGCAATCATAAAAAATGTAACTTCTTTACACAGTGTTAAGTAACGGACTAACAGATGCTGTAAGCCCATGACCTTGCAGCCAGACACATGACTACTTCTCATTTGTTATGGAAAAACTGCTATAAAATTGAAACAATAATATTGTGGAGAGAGCATTTCATGATCTGAATCTCAACAGCACATTTACAGCTTAATCAGTGATCTAGAAGTAAAAGATATATTTTTCAGCGGCTTCGTACTTTGCCTTCACTGGGTGTCTACTGGAAGATGAAATCTTTCGTGATCGTTTTTGGAGATGCAATTCAGCTGTGTTTGAAAAAGCAAACAACAAAACTAAAATTGGTTGTCTATGCCTCACCTAAAGTATTATATGCTTACTACTATTTGTAAGGTAAGCATTGGGGAGGAGTTCAGTCTAATTACAGGATGTGGCAGTAGACACACATGCTCAAAACACTGCTAATCAGATTTTTATGAGGGTTTAATATAGCTTACTTTAC